AGCCACCTGCAGGGTCCAGAGACAACCCCATCTCCTATATCAAGCTCTGGCTAGTAGGTATGTGATAAATGTGAAGACCCTGCCTCCGTCTGTCAGCTGGGAGACAGAGAGGTTCTCTCTTTCTACCCTCTGATGCCTCGTGGCTGCTCTAGGCAAGGTGGGGTGGGACTCTGTTAACATGTGCCTCCCAGAGCTTCCATTTACCTGGTGCTGCTGTTCCGTGAATAGTGGGGTTGTGACTCGGGCTTCAGGTACTGAGTGTTGGACTCTTACTCTTTCAGGAGCCGGTGACTTTCGAGGAGGTGGCTGTGTATTTTACCAGGGAAGAGGGGACTCTGCTGGACCCCACTCAGAGAGCCCTCTACAGGGATGTCATGCAGGAGAACTATGAGATGGTGGTCTTTCTGGGTAAGGAGTTCTGTCCCCTCGGTTATTAAAGCTGTGGGGTCTCTAAAGAACCTGAGTAGTAATAACTTTATACCTTCATTCGTCATACAAGTTTTCACAAGTTTCCTTACCCCCCCCTTTTTTTTGCCTTATCTCCCACCCACTAGTATAATTTTTGTACATGTGCCTTTTTGGTGCCGTCAGTCATTTTAAAATTGCATTTAATGTATCCTTATTGGACCCATTAATAACTACATTAATAACTAGAGCTTCCATGCCTTTTCCTCATTTTAAGAGGAAAATATGCTGCCTGTAGAATTCTAAATTGAGTAAATAGGTGTATGACTCATGCATGGCTTGTGTGACAGTCAGATGAGCTCATCTTTTGATAGGAGAGCGTATAATTTTGCCATTCAGGACCCCAAGGGAGAACAGAGCCTTGGGAATGGAGGAGAAGGGAGGCGTAGCTTATTCTGGATTGCCAGGACATGGGGAAGGTGTGTGCTGGATTAGAGCTAAGAAGCAGCAGGGATGGAGGAGGTAGTGAGAGACGAGGAGGAAACACAAGAAGTTCCCAAGGTGCCGGAAGGTGGTGACGACTGAGAGTAATGGGAAGAAGGGGAGAGGAGTGTGGAGTAAGGGCACCCAGGAAGTGGGGTGGGTGGGTCAATGGGAGGTAGGAGAGGTTTGGGATTCAGAGCTGTGGGGGATCCCAGACCTTTAACCCCGAATCCCTACCCAAGCCTTGTTGCTTTAGAGCCTACACTCCAGTTTTATTTCTGTTTAGTTTCACTTCAATATACATTTTCCCCCTAATATTATTATTTAAACTCTTGACCTCCCTCTCCCACTCATTACCCCCCTCCCCATATAACCTCCCCATCTCTATGCACAGTGACCCTGGCCACTGATCCTGAATCCCTGCTGCATTCCTCCCTCCCATAACAGGGCCCCTACCCTGGCACAAATGGGCACTTTGTTGATGATGTCACAGGGTGGTAGTGTAGCCTGTACAATTTTTACACCTATAAGATTATGTATTGGGGTACAACTTGCCCTTGTACGTGGCTGCTCAAAGTTAATTGAGAAGATGAAATTTGGTGAAACACACAAACTTGATTTAATACAGACAGTTCTAATTGAAATTATAGGCAAGGATCAATACGCATAATGATTAGACTAAGATAAGTATTGTAAAGAGGGTCTTGCATTGAGCATACTTACAAGTTATGGACACCATTGGAAACAAAGATCGAGGGGCAAGGGAGACCATCAGAAGCGAGGCCCTGATTCAGTTTACACTGTCTCGGGGACCCGACAAAATGAAAAAATGGTAACTAGGAGAGGTATTTTATCTGCTTCCTTATGGTAATAGGATGGCTGTATACCATATCTGCTCCTTTACTCTGATTACAAGAATGTCAATAGCTGCCCCAAAGCATATGTGGCCTTTGGGAAGTCCATAATTAAGCATCAAGCATTAATACTCATGATTTACATCACTTAGGGTATGTCTACACTACAGGATTAATCCGAATTTAGATAATTCGAATTTGGGAAACAGGTTGTATAAATTCGATTGTGCGCGGCCACACTAAGCACCTTAATTCGGTTTTAAACCACATTAATTCGGTGGTGTGCGGCCACACTACCCCATTAACTTAAACACAGTAATTCGGTGGTGTGCGTCCACACTAACCCTAATTCGAATTAACAAAATCGATTTAGGCTCTACTCCGTTCGTCGAGGTGGAGTACAGAAATCGATTTAAAGGGCCCTTTAATTCGAATTAACTGGCTCTGTAGTGTGGACGGGTGAAGGGTTAATTCGGATTAACGCTGCTAAATCCGAATTAATCCCGTAGTGTAGACCAGGCCTTACTTATTAATAATTCCAATATATGAATGCGTCCAACTGCTGAGATACTGCATAGCAACCTAATTGCTAAACCCCGCCCCAAAGTTCCTTCTTTCAGAATCCTGTGGCGTATTGCACCTATTTGTGGTTACTCGTTAGTCTCTCAAAATGAGGGTGCAAATATGCTTCTCTCCTTAGGCCTATTCAGGTAAATCCCAGACTTCAGCATAACTTCTCCCACAAAGCCTCAACCTTAACTGTAGCAAGCTTAATAACCCATTTATTTATGTTCACCTCCTTGCCCCTCCATGCATGTTCCAAGCTAATAAGCAATACTCTAATAATGACATTTTACTTCTAGCGAGTATAAAATTGCCCACAAGACATGACTAGGTCATAGATCATAAAATCAGGTCGGGGTCAACAGGAGTGAGAGTTTGGAGAGAGTCTTGTCCCCCCTCTCCCCATCTGCAGAAGCCACAAGCTGTCTTCCTTCCAAGCTCCTTGGATCTTTGAGCCTGTCCCTCCTGAGGTTGCGTGGTCCAGTTCTTGTTTCTTACATTCTCCTTTTCCGGAAGAATTAGAGGCTGTTGCTCCTGAATTTTAGTGTTTAATTCCCCAGCCTCCACAGACTGGGAGAGTTTAATTCTCCCTCCCATTACACCTGAGTCACTAGATTTCCTAATTCCCCAAAAAGTGCTTTTGCAATGTCACAGTTTTGGGGTAGCTAAGCCTCCATGGTCTGCTCAAGGAATGCCCTGTCAGGTATCAGGTGTCTACCAAGCCCCTCTCTATGGGTAGGGGCCCACATGCCTCTCCTTTTTGACCAGGGTTTGAGGATTGCAGCTTGTCCTCCACTGTGTTCTCTGGACTACCATCCAGTTTCTGTGCTTTGCTTTTTCTCCAAGGGCTGTGAGCAGTGTGTGTGTGCGATAGAGGTGGGGATTTTGGTGATACTTGTATGATGCCAATACACACCTCAGTTTCCCTCTGTGATTGGTATTGCTATGATTATAAAGAGCAGGAGACATGAGGTGTTTTGTCACATAGCTGTCATGGGGTGATATGAATGGGTCATTAAGGACTGGCTGGGGCCAACCTACATCAATGGAATACCCGAGAGAGACGAGGGAATAATTGTCACCTGTCCATAGGAGGATCTCTGTTTGGCTGAGTGAAGCATATATGGACTCATTATGTTTTTGGGAGCAGGAAGAACTGGGCTCACAGACGCAGGGAGCTCTACCGGAATGAAGACAAATGGACAGACACAGTGAAAGGAAAACAAAATGTTTTTTACAGTAGCATGGCTCAAGGGCATTGGACTATTATCTTCTTTGCTTCTCTGTGCTAATCTAAGGACTTTCCAATGCTGTGTTTCAGTTGACTAATAAACCCTGTTATGTTTTAAAAGTCTGCCCAGTGTTACAGTAAAAACTTGCTCTGTGCATTGAATGAGGAACAGTCACTGAACAGGAATGTCGTTCAGCTGGACCTGCTGGGCAGAGCTCACAGGTTGAAATAGGAGTGTTGAAGCCAGAGGCTCAGTCTCAGGCCTATCCTTGTGGAAGAGTGGGACCCATTGGGGGTCTAGTGCACTCAAGGGGCACCTCACAAGGACTGTTTATAAGCCAGGGCATTGCACAGATGCTGTGGATCCATGACAGTGTCAGTGTGCCTTCTGGAGAAAAGATATAAAACAAGAAAAGCATCTAAATGCGTATTTACCATCGCCCCTTCATCAGTCCTCGTGGGAATCCCTGATCCATTCCAAAGTGTATTAAAACCTTCCTTAAATCAGATCATGTCAATTTGTCGCCAAAAAGACCCACCTCAATCAGCTCAAACTCAGCTGTTTCTCCCCAAAAAGTCTTTCGTCTTCAGTCTCCTGAAAGAAGTAAAATCAGTCACTGACCCTATCTGCATGGGACAAAGCTTCAAAAGATGGAGATCTGCATAACTAGCAGTCAGCCCCCAGCCTCTGCCCTGCACCCGGGGGGGAGTCAGGTGTCTCCAGGCAGAAATCTGGGGGGCAGAAGGGCATGACGCTATGTGCCCTGCCCACACATCAGCTCTGCCCTGCACCGTGGGGATGAGTCAGGTGTCTCCGAGCAGAAATCTGGGGGGTTGTGACCCTGCATGCCCCACCCACCCTCTGTTCAGGAATTCTGGATATGAAGGGTGATTCCAGAAATAAAGAGTAATTTTGGAAAAAATGCAGTAATAGCGTCAATTTCCAGAAAACACTGGCCCTAGTCATAACATTAAATACAATAGTCTAAAGATATATGCCTGTGTTCATCAGATCTTTCACTCTGCCTTCACATAGTTCACTCTGCTGGTAGGTTCTACCCCTTCCCCCATTCTGTGTCTGTCTTGTCTATTTAAATTGTAAATTCTTCAGGGCATGGGCCATCTACTATTCTGGGTTTGTACTGTGCCTAGCACAATGGGGGCCCACTGTTAGTTGGCCGTTAGGCACTAAGGTAATGAATATGATTTATAATAATAATAACTCTCCTGCCACTTTGAGCCAAGGAAGCTGGCCTTGGGATGTTACTACTTAAAATGAGCTGGGGTTAAAACCATGGAATATTCTTTGTGACAAGTATCCCACAAATTCCATGGACCTTTCTTGTTTTCTTTGCCGTGAGCAGGGTTTCCAGTTTCCAAACCTGATGTGATCTCGCAGCTGGAACTAGGGGAAGAGCCGTGGATCCCAGACCTCTACGAATCTGAGAAAAAAGTGATCCTGAGAGCTGTCTGCACAGGTGAGGAATTGGTTAAACCAACTCAAAAACAGTCCGTGCATACAGGAAACATTTGGGATGCCCTACAAAGACCTTGTAAGCTCTCCAAGTTCAGAACTGTTCCCTGCAGATGTGGAATCACTAGGCAGAGGTCACTCATGGCTTCCCACCTATCCTGACTGACAACTGGCAGCAGGTCCCTCCCCAATCTTGCTTTCCCCTGAGAGTTCTGGTGGGATGCAGACCCAGAACTGATCCCTCCCTCTCTCCTCTGGGAAAAGGTTTGGGGATAATCAGTTCCTGATATGTTTGATCTCTCCCGCACATATTTTGATTTGTTCACCCCTTTTTCCATTCCTGTCTCTGAGATTTCCTTTCTCTCTTGTGCAGGGAGTGACCTATGTCTGGATTCTCTCTGTCTCCTATCAGGTGATGGGATGGTGAGTGAGAATGAGGAGAAACCCCAGCAGGAAGATGCTGAGCAAGTAGAACCACATGGGATGTTATCCGGAAGATCTAAAGTGAATGATTCTGGGAATTGTGCACTCCCAGAAAAAGCAAAAGCCTGTGAGCCTCAGCACAGGCCAGAGGAAAACTTCAGTAGCCACTCAGACCTTATTACACGCAAGAGCATTAACTTGTTAGAGACACGCTACACGTGCCATGAGTGCGGGAAAATCTTCAATCAGAGCTCTGCTCTTACCACACATCAGAGAATCCACACTGGAGAGACATCCTACCCATGCCATGAGTGTGGGAAAAGCTTCTATCGGAGCTCACACCTTATCAGACATAGGAGAATCCACACTGGTGAGAAACCTTATGGATGCTCTGAGTGTGGGAAACAATTCAATCAGATCTCAAACCTTATTAGACATCAGAAAATTCACACAGGAGAGAAACCCTACATGTGCTTTGAGTGTGGGAAAAGCTTCAATCGGAGCTCAGCACTTACCACACATCAGAGAATCCACACAGGTGAGAAACCTTATGGATGCTCTGAGTGTGGGAAATGCTTCAGTGATATTTCTTTCCTTATCTCACATCAGAGAATTCACACAGGAGAGAAACCCTACAAGTGCTCTGAGT